TAGGATCTACAGGATTCCTAACAAATTCTTTTTGTGAAGTGACTCCACATGAGTAAATGTAATTCAGTGTTATGCTAATGTGATCTCACTGAATGTTTATAATTACTGAAACTGTGTGAGAATCTGGTTTGTCAAACATTTAGAAGCATGCCACTTATTTTTATCCATTCATTCAGCCATACATGTAGGAACATGTAGAACTCCTCAATTCTACTTTTTTCAACCTGTGGCCCATCAGTCATAGTGATTCAGCAGAAACTTAGATACTAAAAATATGGTAATATATTGCATACATTTGTCTCATGAAATTCAAATACTAATTTGTATAGTATGTGGGCACTAGGGTGGCCACTTGAAACAAAGAATTGGTTCTTCCACCTTTAATAATAATCCAGCACAGGGATGTAGTTTTGCATGGTGGGGGGAGGGGGGTGAGTAACGTTACTGACATCAAACAATAACTCTGTTCCCCCAAAAGAATTTATCTAATAGTTCCCAAATTTCTTGCATTTCAGAAAATGAAACATTGAAAATGTTCACACCTAGAATGTTTTTATTTGCTGCTTTTACATTCCCATGGTAACTGTGTCAGCTCTTTTTTTCTTTGGCTGCCTAAATGGTAATTTCGAAATATTCAACTGAAGTGTTTAGATATTGCAATGATAGAAACTTGGGAACTGCAGCAAAATTTATATGGGTACAAAATTCTTATGGGACGACATTTTCATTCCCCTCCTCCCTGTTGTTACACCCTGATGTGGCAGAAGAAATTTTAGCAAGTATTTTTCATGCAATGGCAAATAGCTTGCTCAGCTACACGCCTTTTATCTCTAACCTTTTCTGATTTTTTCAAACAAGCCCAAACTATTGTCCTTTTATATGGTGACCATAAATGAACAGTTAAAATTGAGGAGTAATTAAAAAGTAGTAATGATCATATGCTTACCTTTGGCTTAACTAAGGCAGGTATTGTGTAGTCCTCTAGGACAGGGCTTCTTCAACTTTTCTCTTCAAAATTCCTTTTGGCCTGACAAATGTTCGCATGATGCCAGTAAATAAAATAGGCATAAAAATGAAACATTTACTGAAAACAAATCAGTATTTGCAAGGCTTGCTAAACAAGCTGATTTTCCTCTTTCATGAAGTACAGCTGAAGCATCTTCTGCAGAGTCCACTGCATAACAGATTTGTGTAAAGCTCTAAAACAGCCACTAAAACTTTTACTGTTCCCAATTTTTTTAGGTCCCCACATTGAACTCAGGACCCACAGTTTAAGAAGCTGTGCTATGTGTCCAGAGGAGAGCGACCAAAATTATAAAAGGTCTGGAAGTCAAGTCCTTTGAGAAGCAGCTTAGGGACCTGAGTATATTTAGCCTGGAGAAGGAAAGGTTAAGACGAGGCATAACAGCCATGTTTAAATAGTTGAAAGGATAACAAATATGGAGTAGGCTTGTTTTCTATTTCTTTATAAAACTAGGCCATGGAGCAATGAATAGAAAATACAGAAAAGGATTTCTGTCTGAATATAAGAAGAAATTTCTAATGGTAAGAACTGCTTGACAGTTGAATATGCTGCTTTGGAGTGTGGCAGTCTTCTTTGGGGTTGTTAAATAGAAGCTGGATGGCCATCTGCTACGGTTTGTCTATTCCTGAATGGCAAAGAGTTGGACTGGATAGACTTTGGGTTCTCTTCCAATTCTCTGATTCTCTGTTGTTGGATTGCACATCCCAACCCTCTCAGCCAGGATATAATTGGTTAGGAATGCTGAGATTTGCATTCCTACATCTGGAGTCCAGTATTTGCATAATACCCATCCTTGAGTTAAACAAAAGTGTTTTATCACAACGGTGTCAATGTAAAGTGCTTCCAGTGCACTGAGTTGATATTTTCTTTGTACAATCATTATGTGTTCATATTTCAAAATGTTTTTTTGAAAGCCTTGACATCTAGAAATGTTACCTTTGTTGCTTCACTAGGCAGAACAGTTCTTTGTATCATGTCACTCTAGAAATACGGTCAGAGTGTTCAATAACATATATAATTCTGTCAGTGAAGAGATGAGGCTAGTAACTCTTGAAATTCCAGTCAAGTAGAGGTAATATGAAATAAACTATGGCAACACTGCCCTCTGTTGTCTATATGGTATTATGAATATGGAATTAAGATTTGTTGCAGAAATTATTCAATACCCTTACATTAAATTTTCCATCTTTATTATTTTACTATCGTATCTTAGTACTGTGGTATTAGATACTACTTTACTATGGGGATGGCACATTCTCTCAGCCTTAAAAGGTGACCTGAACAAATCTTGCCAACAAAATCCTATGTTAGGATTGCCATAAATTACTTGGAAGACAAAGTTAATAAGTGTGTGTGTGTGTGTGTGTGTGTGTGTGTATATATATATATATATATATATATATATATATATTCCTGAGAGGTAGCAATTACTTCATTATAGTTATCTCTCAGGAATATATATTTTATTTGTTGATCTTATTTACTTTAGCTGTCAGATTATGTTATTGCTAAGAACAATGAGGTATATAGACAAAATAAACAACTCGGACAAGGTGAATAACATATTCTAGCCTGAACTGTAGAAGAAAATGAGTAGGGCGAGCAATAGAACTTTATTGTAGTTCAGTGTTGTTAGCCAGACTTGACCACTCTCAGAATACTCCATTCCATTAGCCTTTCCTTTCTTCCAATTAAGTCCTTTAAAAATAATAAAATCCAAATTATATTCTTAGTGTCCACTTGTTAGTGTAAATTAGCTCATATTGTTAGTGTAAACTAAAGTACCTATGTGTTGACTCATTATTCAACAGTTGGACAATGGATCTACTCTAGTTAGATCCATATAATGAGATTCTGGTCAAAGTGCTCTATGATGATCTTGTTGGGCTGTTTTATGAAATATGTTGTGCTGAGTATGCATTTCTACAATCCTTGGTTTTTTCCAAAGCTAAGAACTTCCTTGTTGTGTAAGAACATGGTGAATTTCTTAACCCAATCATTAACACTCTCAGAATGAATTTTCTATTATTAATAGCCAAGGTATTCGTGTGATTAAATACTGACCCCAGTGTTGTCAGTGTGATTTAACAGTTATTTGAGCTTTGGATTAGAACTCTGGAGGCCAGGGTTTGAATCCTTGTTTAGCCATGGAAAGGCTAAAGGTGACCCTGGGCAAGTCACACTCTCTGAGTCTCAAAGGAAGGCAATGGAAAAAAATTATTTCACGAAACCTCCATGACAGGCTTATTTTAGGATCACAATAAGTCAGAAACATGTCAAGACACATAATATTTTAAGAGTTGCAAAGTTTTTCTTTTTTTAAAAAAAAAGACACACAAACACTGCAAACAACATTTTTGAAATAATATTAATTAAAATTAAAAAATTAAAAATTCCTTTCACTTGCATTGCAGTTCTATAATATTTTTATGATGTGGCACCAGTTTTGGCAAACTTTTTTTTTTCCATCAGAGCGTCAAATTAGATAAGGTTCTGTTCATCTCTTATAAAACACATTAAAAGTAAGGATATTTTTGTCAATATGCAGGAAAGGAGAACTGTTCATAATAATTTTGGCAGTGATGACACAGCTGAGGAAGACTAAAAGGGAAAGACATATGGGAATCTCATACTATAAATGTTTTATGTAATAGTTTTATCCAAACCAGAAGGAATTAAATAACACATTCTAAGCTGAAAATCTTATAATACATTCAAAAGCCTAGATTTATGAATAGGAAAATAAATGGGGTTGTGTTGTAGCCTAACAGATAAAAGAAAAATCTCTTGAGCTTCTGGTCCTCTGTTCTCCAAAATGAAGCAATATGGCAATTTTTACTCTTGAGGTATGATCTCCTCAGCTTTAACAGGGTTATATAGTAAAGCCTTGTGCCTAGATTACATAGAGGAGCCAATGTAGCATTTTTAAAATATATCTACAGAGCCCCCAGTGGCACAGTGGGTTAAACCCCTGTGCCGGCAGGACTAAAGACCAACAGATTGCAGGTTCGAATCCGGGGAGAGGCAGATGAGCTCCCTCTATCAACTCCTCTCCTCATGCGGGGACATGAGAGAAGTCTCCCACAAGGATGATAAAAACATCAAATTATCCGGGCACCCCCTGGGCAACATCCTTGCAGACGGTCAATTCTCTCACACCAGAAGCGACTTGCAGTTTCTCATGTCACACCTGACACAACAAAAAAAATATCTACAGTATTTATATTCCACCCTTCTCATCTCAAAGGGGATTGAGGGTGGATCGCAATGCACACAAGCATAGAAAACATTCAATGCTGTTTTTAGACATACAAGACAGACAGACAGATAGATAGAAGTATTTTGGCATTTTCCCATTTCGGCACTTGGAGGTTATGCTTGATTCTGACCACAGGGGGTGCTATCACTTCATCCAATATGATGCCAAGCCCTTTTGATTGTAGTATTTCCTCCTTGTTCTTTGATCACTTGCATTTTTATGTTTTCATAAAATACCTTCCCGCTTTAAACAGTACCTAATTTCTCTACTCACAGATCAGCATTTTTCAAACTGCTTCAGTGGAGAGTAAGCTAGGCTTAACAGTTGGGCGCTCAATCCAACTCAAGCTTCGAACTTGCCACCTTCTGGTCAGCAGTGATCTATTGCTGCTGGCGATTAACCAGTTGTGCAACATACTAACTGCAAGCCCAGCCCTCATTGCAGTTAGTATGTTGATATTGGACTTGAGAGTTCTAAGTTCTATCTTGGGCTAGTCTTGGACTTATTTTGAGGATTAAAGGAAGACAGGAAGAGTCATGTACACCAACTTGAGCTCACTGGAAAATGCAGGATATCAATTGAATTGTATCTAGTGCTGATCTTCAGTCACATAATTTTTGTTGGATGTGTAGTTTCACATAATTTCCAACTCTATATTTGTGTGTGTGTAAGAATCTTAGTAAACCTTGTTAAAAGGATTTAGACAAATTCATGGAATATGATAAAAATATACATATTTTAATTATAAACATTAATTATGAAGATACATATTAAATGACATTAAACAGCAATTAAGGGTGGAATCATCACCATCAGAGGAGGAATGTTTACTAATACTAAATCATTGGAATAGAAAAATCATGTTGAATATCTCAGTTATCACCAACAACCTGTGAAACCCCTCAGATGCCTGACTTGCTACCAATAGGTTTAACTTCTGAAGTAAATAAACCAATAAGGTAAGTTGACTGCCATAGTTGATAACATCTATGGACGTAACAGCATACTGATGTGATGTTGAACCAGAAATGCAACCCATATGGAAAAACACTCACAGGCATATTCTTTAAACTTAAAAAATTAGGACACTTTTAAAAGTACTCTTGAGAAACCTCTTATATTCCTCCTGAAAATGTTGGTTTGCTATTTAAATCATCACTTGCTGTTTAAAGCAAGTAATTTTTCCTATTGAAAGAGCCAGTCCTTAAGCTCTAATATGTTTATTGGGTGTTAATCATTACTAGAGCATGAATAGTGTTGCAGAGATTTTGGGGAGAAATTCCAAGAGACTTTTCAGTCTTATTTGTATCATTTTCAAGCAACTGAAGTAGTATGAAAAGCCTAGTATTTAATAATGAGTTGTACACACTCCAGTTTTCCCTACCTGTGACACTGCAAACTATCATGGTTCAACCCTTTCCTTACAGTCTTGAATACAGAACTGCTGTTTATTCCTTTTCTCTATGCCAGCAGCTGTTTTACACACTCAAATCTAGAAAGACAATCCAAATATGAAAATGTACTACAATTAGAGACATACCTTGCATGTTGCAAATCTGTTTCACTGGAATGTGTTATTTATTTCTTTAAATTAATTGCTCAAAGCCTAAGCAGTATCCTTGCCATTTGCTTTATGTGTCAGTCATTTTAGTATGACAGAAGAAATATTCAACAAAACTACCATTGAATGTAATAGTTAAAACAAGTTAGTTAAAACAGAATCATGATAGAAGTGGCAAAAATAGTTATATAGGATAATAAATCTTAAAGCCATTTCCACCAAGAGTAAACCCATTGGTTTATTTGGTTATTCATCGATTAATTGGGTCTGTTTAGATGGCACTAACAATTTAGGCTGTGGGAAATTGAAACATGGTCATTCATCTTAGATAGTTGATTAATGACCATGTTTCAGTTTCCCACAGTCTAAATTCATCTTAGATAGTTAGGAGCCCCCAGTTAAACCCTTGTGCCAGCAGAACTGCTGAACGATAGGTCAGTGGTTTGAATTTAGGGAGACCAGGTTGAGCTCCCTCTATCAGCTCCAGCTCTCAATGCAAGGACAGAGAGAAGCCTCCCACAAGGATGGTAAAACATCAAACATCCAGGCAAGCCCTAGGCAAAGTCCTTGCAGACAGCCAATTCTCTCACACCAGAAGCAACTTGCAGTTTCTCAAGTCACTCCTGACACGAAAAAGTACCAAGAGCTACTTTGGTGTGGTAGCTTGAGTGAATGAATCACACACTAGAAGATAAGAGTCTGAATCCCTGCTTGACCATGGATGTTCATCTAGTATCTTTATGCAAATCACATTCTTGCATCCTCAGAAGAAATCAGTGGGAACCTTCTTCTGAACAAGTCTTATAGAAAAAAAATTAAAAATGCTTTCAGATTGCTACAAATCATCATCAACTTGAAAGCATGTAACAACTCTCCTTCAAATCTTTTTAACACAGATGAAAACAATAGTGGTAAACAAAGCATCAGATTTTGCCCCCCTCTCTTTTGCAGTCAGTTAATATTAATATAATTCATATACTTTATGAATAAACTGTGCCGATACGTTTATAATTTGCACTGTTGAGTTATTTGTGATGAATTATGAGAAACTTTATGATAGAAGTGGCATTAAGAACTGCAGCCATATTTATACAGCTTAACAATAAGCCCTTTTAAAGAAATGGTACTTATATAATGCCACAGAATAATATGAACACATTGAAGTACTCATAAAACAAACTTGGTCAGAATTAACGCCTGCGATGTCTATGCTGTGCATGAACACCATGATGTCTGTGAGCACCGTGCATCCCAGTTGTCCTCCTTTGTCTGTTCCTGTTTCCACTCCTTTCAAAAAACATGAAGTCCTAAGGAGCAATTATATGCATTAGCAAGACTAAAATTCAGAAATACCTTCAGATATACCTCACAATAGTTACACTCCACCTCCCAATTATTTAAATGAGTCCACAACAGAATGCCCAGCTAGAACCCGTCAACAAAAGTGTGGCCCATGGAATCATAGAATCATAGAGTTGGAAGAGACCTCATGGGCCATCCAGTCCAACCCCCTGCGGCACTCCGYTTGTCACTTCTTTCCAGGATGAAGAGGAAGCATTGGTGAGCACCCTCTGGGTTCATCTGCTTAACCAATTACAGATCCACCTAACCGTAGTGTTGCCTAGCCCACATTGGACTAGTTTATTTGCCAGAAGGTCATGGGGGACCTTGTCACAGGCCTTACTGARATCCAGGTAAGCTACATCCATGGCATTCCCCGCATCTACCCAGCTTGTCAGTCTATCAAATAAAGAGATCAGATTAGTCCGGCATGACTTGTTTTTGATAAATCCATGTTGACTATTAGCRACACCACATTCGTTTCTAAGTGTTTGCAGACCACTTCCTTAACAATCTTTTCCAGAATCTTGCCTGGTATCGATGTGAGGCTGTTTGGGTCATCCTTTTTTCCCTTCTTGAAGATTGGGACCACATTGGCCCTTCTCCAATCTGCTGGAACTTCTCCCGTTCTCCAAGAACTTTAAAAGATTATTGCCAATAGTTCCGAGATGGCTTCCGCTAGTTCCTTCAATACTCTTGGGTGTAGCTGATCTGGCCCCAGGGACTTGAACTCATTTAGAGTGGCCAGATATTCCTGGACAACTTGTTTCCCAATTTGGGGTTGGATGTCCTCTACTCCCTCATCCACTCCATCTTGATGAGGCTGAAGATGACTTTCTTTTTGTGAGAAGACCAAGCTAATGGCATAAATGAGTACAGAAGACTGAGGCCCTTGCTTGGCATTCTTTTGTGGAGAGGGGATGCTCCTCATTCTTTCCTACTTCTTCCACAGGAACACAACAACACTCAAGAGACTACAGCCATCTAAAGTTACATAAAGCATTTGGAAAAGTTTGTATTCATTGTGGCTGAGTTGGCAGTTTTAGTCCAAAAAGTACGTTCTTCAAGTTCTCCTCCAAGGAGTCACCCTATCATGTATTCTTAACATACCGGTACCACTATCTTGGTCTCCTGTCAATTAAAAAATTACCAGTTGGGAAGAAGTAGTCATGCGAAGGTCCTTCTATCAAATCTTCTAAGACACAGAGCAATCTACAACAAAATCTCACCACTAGTTTAATACATACCAGGAGAAAGCAAGACCCAAGGATGATTGCTTTCATTTTAATATCAAGATCCATTGGAAATTGGACTTGAAAGTTGCTAGCATCTGAAGCAGCTTCTCTTGCCCATCCTCCCCACTGTCTTGAAATGGTTCCAACTGTGGCTATTTCATCCAGTGCCTTCACCTAATTTTCAAATAAAAATAAGAAAAATTTACTTTTTGAAAATAAATTACTTTTAAAACGTATGAACAATAACTCACAATACAAAACACTTCTAATGACAACTATTGGTATACAAGAATCACACAATTGGAACAAAATACCCCAAATCTTCCCATTTGGTACTACTAGTGTCACAATTATTTAAACAGGTGTCGACATTGTGCAGCCATCTAGATATTCAAGCAACACAGTCATGGGGAAGAAAGCTAAAAATACCATCCAATAATATCTGGAGTGTCATGATTTCCAGCCCTCATTTCAAAGCTATCTTATTATGCACATACAGGTATTCCAAAATCTGAAGCATTTTAGATAAAGGATAATCAATCTGTACTCTGTAAACAAACTGCAAGTTATTATGAACCAACTTTCTTCCTTTTTTTGTTAATCAATGCATCAATTAATTAATTAACTAATCTGTTTCTGTTTTATTGATTATTCTAAAGCCTTTGACTGAATGGATCATAATCAATTGTGGCAAGTTCTTGGCGGTATGGGGATACCAAGCCACCTTATCTGTTTCCTGAGGAATCTGTATAAAGATCAAGCAATGATAAGAACAGATCACAGAACAACAGACTGGTTCAAGATTGGGAAAGGAGTATGGCAGGGTTGTATACTCTCACCCTTCCTATTCAGCTTGTAAGCAGGACACATCATGCGACGTGCTGGGCTTGACAAATCCAAGGCTGGAGTTAAAATTGCTGGAAGAAACATTAACAACCTTAGATATGCAGATGATACTACTTTGGTGGCTGAAAGCGTAGCAGAGCTGAAGAACCTTCTAACCAAGGTGAAAGTAGAAAGTGAAAAGGTGGGTTGCAGTTAAACATTAAAAAACCAAGATGATGACAACCAGACTGATTGATAACTGGCAAATAGGGGGACAAAACATGGAGACAGTGACAGACATATTTCTAGGCATGAAGATTACTGCAGGTGCAGACTGCAGCCAGTAAATCATAAGATGTTTACTTCTTGGGAGGATTGCAAATAGTGAAGAGTAGAGACATCACACTGGTAACGAAGATCTGCATAGTTAAAGCTGTGCCATTTCCTGTACTAACCTAAGGATGCGAGAGCTGGACCATAAGAAGGCTGAGTGAAGGAGGATAGATACTTTTGAACTGTGGTGTTGGAAATTTTTGAGAGTGCCTTGGACTGGAAGAAAGTCAAATCAAGCCATACTCCAGGAAATAAAGACCGACTGCGCAGTGGAGGGAAGAATATTAAAGACAAAGATGAAGTACTTTGGCCACATAATGAGAAGACAGGAAAGCTTGGAGAACATAATGATTCTGGGGGAAATGGAAGGAAAAAGGAGGAGGGGCCGACCAAGGACAGGATGGATGGATGTTATCCTTGAAGTGACTGGCTTGACCTTGAAAGCGCTGGGGGTGGCCAAACTGACAGGGAGCTCTGGTGTGGACTGGTCCATGAGGTCACAAAGAGTCAGAAATGACTGAACGAATAAACAACAAAATACAGGAAGTGATAGGAAGTCTGATTTTTCCCCAATTAAAATAGCCAACTTTGAAAATGTTGACATTTAGCTCCACTTCTTTTATCTTCTGGTAGCTCAGTGGATCTTATAGCACCAAACACTGCAGCATAATAGAGAATATCTCCCTTCTCCAGACTTGCAGAAATTCCAAAATGAAGTGCCAGTGCTAACACATATTGTGTTGCTAGTCATAAAGGAAAACTATGTAGGCTCCAATAGTCATTGAAAACTAAACAGAACCCTCCTCTACACAAAGGCCAAGAAAGATTACTTTCTCTTACAGCTGTAATGCGTAGAGGCCAAAGGAAGAGTTCATATAAAATTTACCTGATGTCTACATTGTGTGTGTGCATGAGGCTGAAATCCTATCACAGTGGTCCTTCCACATTTGTGACTGACTTTTCAAGATTTGATTATTCACTGATTTGAATAAAAACATATGTCGAGGAATCTTTAGGTTCTCCAGTATGATTGTATGACAAGCTTCCAGCAGAAGATAATCACAAACCTAAAAATTCCCAAAGAGAAATTTCCCTAACCCTAACGCTGCCCCAATTTCTTTATTTGTGGGTTTTCACATTCATTCGATGCCCTTAATCCCAGTAAATGTGGAGGGCTGACTGTATAATGATTCAATGCTGTAAATGTCACTGTCTCTTGGATGTCTAAATTGGTATCAGACTATCAATTTTTGTAAGGAATTTAGTATTATTTTAGTCCATGTGATAGTGATGGCAAGTTTCGCTCATGTTACTTGTTTCTGTGGACTTAGCTTCTGAGGCTACTATATTTGCTATTGTACAGTTAATTGTGCTTTTGTTTTCAGTTTTGCTATATTGGGTTTTTTTAAAGTTGTATGTTAGAATTTTAAACATTGCAATAGTTTAATTTGATTTTAAAAGCAGCATAACATGTAGAGGGAAATCTGTTATTATCCAGGCATCTAACCAATTATTAAAAGAAGAAGGAAGGTCAGCCAATTAGCTAGGATACTGTGGTCGTTAAAAGAGTATTGGACCCTGTCTCCCCCAACATGATCCATGTGCACACATGGCTGTATGTATGTGTGTGAAAACAAAGTAGTCTAACTTTTTTATTTTAGGATTACCTTACCTCAAAATGAATATCTGCATAACAGCGGCATGGAACACAAGGACCAGTCATTTTAAGCACATTTTCTCTGGCTTCATTTTGGATGGCAAATTTAGGCAGACAGGGGTGCCACTTCTGCTTAACGTATCCAATGACTGTGCCTGGTGGGGCCTGAACTTCCAGCTTTAATAAAAAAGATCACATAATTAAGAATTAAAATCAACCTTACACTTTTATCTAGCACATAAATATACAAAACTCTCTCTCCACTTAAGAAGTTTTAGAACGTATTTCCAGTGTACTGTTTCAGCAGTTTAAAAAAGCAGTCATGGCTCTCTTCTATGTAATTGTGGGATTTGTAGTTTCACAACATAGCTAGAATTCTCTGCTAGGGAACTCTAATCCCATAAGAACACATAAGTATGGCCTACAAAAGAAATCCAAATATCACATCAAAAAGAAATGCCTGGACTTCACGGGTAAAACAGCATCAATCTGCCTTAGAATCATAGAATTATAGAGTTGGAAGAGACCTCATGGGCCTTCCAGTCCAACCCCCTGCCAAGAAGAAGGAAAATTGCATTCAAAACACCACCGACAGATGGCCATCCAGCCTGTGTTTAAAAGCTCCCAAAGAAGGAGCCTCCACCACACTCCAGGGAAGAGAGTTCCACTGCTGAATGGCTCTCACAGTCAGAAAGTTCTTCCTAATATTCAGATGGAATCTCCTTTCTGGTAGTTTGAAGCCATTGTTCTGCATCTTCATCTCCAGGGCAGCAGAAAACAAGATTGCTCCCTCCTCCCTATGACTTCCTCTCACATATATTTATACATGACTTCATTGTGTAGAGTCACTCTCAGAATAAATAAGAGGTTCTGGTCCATTAAAATTATTGTAGACTTATAAGAAGACAATGAAGAACATCTAGGGTGCTCAACAAGATAGAATCCCAAAAGCCAAATGTCTTGAGAATCATAAAAATAGCTTAAGGAAAAAGGAACCTTCAGTTGGACCCAAAGATAGAGTTGTTTACCTCTTGTAAGCAGCAAACACATGGGCAGCAGCAAATGGAACAGTGAAATGCTCTCGACAACTGCATGACTGGTTGGTTTCTGCTGTCAAAGAGTTTTATAGTGAATGATCGCAATGCTCCATACATATTCAAAGTGAAGTCATCATTTTCCTCAGCTGCAAAGTAAAGCCACTGTCCCATAGAGTTTTTGATTTCATATCTGTTACTAGTTTCATAGCCACTTATCACTGAAAAGGAAGACACAACAATATAATTATTGATGCAGATATTTGTAAAGATATTTTGAAAACTCTAATCAGAGTCATGAATATCAGTCTTAGATTTCCAGTTGAAAACTGTATCTCTCCATTCTATAAAATAAGTTTAGGAGGCAATGGACAAGATGTCTACACCTTCTTCAGTTTCCCAAGAACCAAAAGTAGACTAAGCAGAATAATGATCAGAGATGGAAAACAAATGTACTGGTTTTGCCACTTCATTTGGAGTGGGGGTGGGGAATTTCTACAACCACATTTTAAGTGCTTGCTCAATAGGGAAAATGAACACATTTTCTAGTAGGCTATTTAGAAAAATGCATTCAAAACATGTGCAAAATGTAAACACATGGGAAAAGGAACATATTTTAGGAAGAGAACGGGATCTTCTCCCAGGTTGAAGTGAACTCACTTTACAGAGGTAACAGTTTTAATATTATAAACTAATACAGAAGAATCGTAGAATCATAGAACCATTGAGTTGGAAGAGACCTCATGGGCCATCCAGTCCGACCCCTTGCCAAGAAGCAGGAAAATCACATTCAACGCACCTGACAGATGGCCAGAATGTCCCTGATTTAGAAACAAAACCCACAAATGGAAAATTTCTGACTATTCCCCCCAACTGTCAAGATACTGTAGCATGATACATACTTTCCATCAGCTCAATCTGCTGCTGAATTGATATCTTATCAACCTGTTACAATATTTAAAAAAGAGAAAAGTGGTAAATGTTAAAGCTGAAACACATAACAGGAACATTACATAAATGTCATTATTTAATGTCCGATGTCTATTCCTATGGTCTGCGTGAAATCAAATGCTCAGTCATTTTATACTATACTTGTCACTAGATTTAATATTCAAATTCAATAAGAAGGTATAAAGCAATTTTTTCCAACATAAAATGTGATTTTAACCGAACGCTTTTTAAAAAATGGATAATTAATTTATCAACATGGATTCCTGGATTCATTAAACACAAGTAGTAAATTTGCTTTCCCATTCAACTCTTTTCTCCATTGTATCATCACAATTCTTTAATTCCAGAATTAAGAGGTGCTGTTATGGTTATGGCCATCTTTGCAATCTCCTGGCCTTGACTGCTGACCAGAACAAAAAAAACAACAGGGCAATCAATTACCTGGCCCAAATAGTCCAATCCTGGTGGGCATTTAGGAATTGGAGGTGGTGCTGGCATCCAAATTATTGGCGTAGGTGTAATCAACTGACCTTGGACTGTGACACTTTCATTAGACACTGGCTGACCTGGGGCAATGGGGAAAAAAACTGTTGAGTATGAAAGATGAAAGGGAAGATCCATTAACATCCTGAAAACAAGTCAGAAATAATATTTTAATATTAAGAATTTTGATGACACCTAAACAGTAGAAATTGAAAGTCTACAGTAGTGTTTCCCAAACTCTAGACTTCCAGGTATTTTGGACTTCAGCTCCCAGAATCACTGATCATTGGCCCAAGCTGCTGAGGCTTTTGAGTGGTGAAGTCCAAAACATCTGAAGGACTAGAGCAGGGGTCCTCAAACTATGGCCCGTGGGCCGAATACAGCCCTCCAAGGTCATTTAACTGGCCCTCGCTCAGGGTCAACCTAAGTCTGAAATGAGTTGAAAGCACGCAACAACAACAACAATCCTATCTCATCAGCCAAAAGCAGGCCCACACCTCCCATTGAAATACTAATAAGTTTATATTTGTTGAAATTGTTCTTCATTTTAATTAATGTATTGTTTTTAGGTGCTTTTTGCACTATATGTGCAGTGTGCCTAGGAATTCGTTCATGTTTTTTTCAAATTATAATCCGGCCCTCCAACAGTTTGAGGGGACTGTGACCTGGCCCTCTGTTTAAAAAGTTTGAGGACCCCTGGACTAGAGTTTCAGAATCACTGGTCTAGAAGAAACAACACTTTTACACATTGTCATTTTTATTGTTACTTTTTAAAAACTAAACCATCCCATTGCACTGGCCAGATTGCTGCAACCTGAATGTCTACCCTTAAGCCAAGGAGGTCAAGATTAAATATATGTTTCTCGCCTCTGATTTTGGACCACAACAATGTTGTAATGGAGCAAAAACAATTCATGGACATAAGGGGCTCACTGATTCTGATTTTTAAATTCTAATAGTTAGTTATTTAATATCAAGTTCTCAGAAGACATGTATAGATAAAAATGCTGTCTCAAGCGTTTTTTAAAAAAATGTATATTGTAAGAAGCCGAAACCAAACAATTTTTCATGAGACAATATAATAACCTTTTAGGCCTAGTGTGAAGTCTAAAACAAAGTACTTGATTATATTTGTTAGTGCTTTTGTGAGCCGCCCCGAGTCCCTTCGGGGAGATGGTTGTGGGATATAAATATTTATTTATTTGCTTTATTTCTATACCGCATTTTTCAGCCCAAACAGG